CCGTCAACTTTAACATTTCCTCCTTCATGAGAGAAGCATGCACACACATTTGTTTCCAGCAAAGAACATGTTTTACTTGAGGTATTTTTTCACTTATGTTTTCCTGAACAAATTTCTTTTTAAGGTTTATTGTTGAGAGAGACGGAGAGAGGCAGAGCGTGAGCGGGGGAAGGGCAGAGAGAGGGAGGCACAGAATCCGAGGCGGGCTCCAGGCTCCGAGCCATCAGCACAGAGCCCCATGCGGGGCTTCAACTCCGGGACCGTGAGATCATGACCTGAGCTGAGGTCGGAGGCTTAACCGACTGAGCCCCCCAGGCGCCCTGAGTTACGTTTTTCTGATTAAGAAAGAAAACTGTGTCTATCGAGCACTGAGGACAAAGGAAATATCCGGGACCAGGAAGTGAAGAAGGGCTGAAAACCATGCTCGAGTGGCCTGGGGGTTCGGGTATCAGATCCAGGAAGAGGCTGGTAATTTAAGTGTTAGCTGTCCCCATAGAGGTCTCCAGAGAGAAGGGAGGGAGACAGTCTTCATTCAGGCCTTTGGGGGTGGGGGGGGGGGACAAATTAGCCACCCGTGAGAAATCAAACTGAGAGCCTGTGCCGTGTGCAGATACACGTCAAACTCTGCATCCTGCCCCTGTGCCCGCCCCACCCCTGCACAATGTGGGGCAGGAGAGTCCCTACGCTGAGAAAATTTACACAAAAATTGATCCCAGGCTACAGAGCTCCTGCAGTGGGAGAATCCCACCAGCCCAGCTGCTCAGTAAGCACTCCTCACTGAAGACAACCTCATGCCTGATGATCCAAGTTCAAAAACCGGGAGGGTGCAGCCCACCCAGAGCCAACGTGTGCAGATATCACGGTGGCGGGCCGCCAGCACTGTGGGGGTGACGGAATGATTACTGGACTGTAAAATTACTGAGTTGGACAGAAATTGACATGGTGCTAAAAGCATGGTACGGAGCTGCAAATCTCGCGGGCTTTGCAGACTCCGGGATTTAAGGAGCAGTCGGTACCAAGTTCACAATGAAGGGTGATGATGATAGAATGTTGATTTGGTACGGGGTGCTTTACTGCGGCCTGAGGCTTGCTGACCTTGTAGAAGTGTGCGGCGGCCAACTGGGAGAGGAAGACAGGGTGGCATGGGGCTGAGTGCCCAGGTAGGGGTCTCCATCAGGAAGGGAGAGGAGCAGAAGAGCTCTGTCCATCAGTCCAGTGCAAAAGCCAACCAGCTGCTACATGTGCCGGGAGAGTGACCTGTGGCGGTTGACCTTCAGGACGTCTTTAAAATGCAGATGCCTCATTTGGCTCCCTCGTCCACCTGCAGCCCAGTGAGGGGCCTAGAATGAAACTTAAAAGCTTATGAGGAGCCCAGGAAGCTGTCCTAAAGGCCACGCAGGGAAGCGAAGGTCCTCATTCTCAGAAGAGCCTCGATGAGCGCCGAGCTGCTGTCTTGACAGTTCGGTTCCCCGCTCTGGAGAAGGGGACGACCAGGTGGGGCTGGGCCTCCGACAGCAGCAGGAAGTGGCCATTGACAGGAAGGAGACACAAATACATAAAAGCCAGAAACAGAAAGTTATCTTGCAAAGACCCCAGCCGGGCAGCAGCAGGGCCCTCAGCCGGGACCTCCAGGTCAAAGCTCAGCGAGTGTTGTCTGCTTAAGAACACCGGGGAACGGGAGTGACATTGTGCAGTTCCTCGTGCTGGAAACACTTGTGGTTTACTTGGAAACTTCCATTAAGTGCCGCCGTGGAATCTGCATTCATATACGGGGACTCCTCCGGCCTGATACAGGGTTACAGAGCTGAACAAGTGGCCGCTTTTTTAAATTTTTTTTTATGTTTATTTGTTTTTGAGAGACAGAGAGACAGCATGAGCAGGGGAGGGCAGAGACAGAGGGAGACACAGAATCCGAAGCAGGCTCCAGGCACTGAGCTGTCAGCACAGAGCCCGATGTGGGGCTCGAACTCATGGACCGCGAGATCATGACCTGAGCCAGAGTCAGACGCTTCACCGACTGAGCCCCCCAGGTGCCCCAGAATCCACCTATTTAAAGTGCACAGCTCAGTGGTTTTTAGCGTATTCAGTGTATCCCTCACTACTGTCACATTCCAGAACATTTTCACCACCCCAAAAAGAAACCTGTACCCACAGCCAGTGACTCCGTGTTCCCGCTCCCCCCAGCCACCCCTGATCTACTTTCTGTCTTGCTTTCCTGTGTTGCCTGTCTGGACATTTCATATGGACGGATCGTGTAATACGTGGTCTTTGTGTCTGGCGTATTCCTTTTCCTTAAGCAGAAAAAGACAGACTTTGGCAGCTGATCAACCAAAAGAATAGATTCCATACATTTGTGTGGCCTTTCCTATCCCAATGCTGTTTTTTATAGAGAGTCTAAAAATACACGTGCTGTTAGCAAACCTTCAAATTGGGTAACGTCCCCCATTTCCTTCTTTAGAGACCTCAGTTCTTCCCAGTTTCAGAATTCTGTTGTTTGCACACGTCTCCCTTTTTATTTGACACAAAGGGTGATGTGCTGTGCACAGTTCTTCAGTCTCCAGTCTCCACTCCACTTCCTTGTTCGGTCTTAGCAGTGTTTCATCGTTCTTTTTTTTTTTTTTTTT